TAATTATTATATAATTTTTATGTTAGGAACTAATGGCAAACATTCAATTTTATCAAACACAATTTTTACAAACTCTAATTTAATTAGCACAATCATTTAATAGAAAAAAAAAATGCACGATTTCTTCAAACATTAATGTAATCAATCCATCGAAATAGCGAACACAATCGGGTGACCAAACAACTAGAACACAATTTTTACAAACATAACGATATGCTGACCAAACAACTAGCACAATCATTTACCATTAACCTCAGTTTTCACATTCAATCGGCCAAGAAAAATTCCAATACAATCTATCGGTCGATTGTATTGTGGTAATTTGTCGATCAAGCAATGAGTCGATCAAAGCAGTCGATACAATCAACTAATCGCTAACAACAAATTATCAAACCTAAGTCCAAACACAATTTAGGTGCACAACTCACAAGGCATCTTTAACTGGTCCTATGTTTTTTTTCCTATTGCTTTTGCATTCCCACGCTTCATATGTCGTATAGGCAACATACCAAATGAAATTTCTTTTAACAACCACTTTTTATTTTTATTTTTTTTATTAATGTTTTTTTTTTTTTTTTTGGTACAAATTATTAATGTTTGACAATTTACCAGAGCTCCAACTTAACTTGTCAACCCCACACAGACATCATCATCACAATGGCCCATAATTCCAAATCGAAATCCCATTTGGGACCTCGCTTTCTCTGCATATATTTGTTCCTCGCAACTCTAAATTAATTTCGTACCGTGTCTGAACAGAACATACCCGACCCTCTAATCGCATTCATGGCGGAAAATTACAACGCCGAGTCTGTGGAGACGAAAAAGATTATGCCAAACCCCAGGGCTGAGATAGATTTCTCGCCGCCGTTCGAGTCCGTCAAGGAGGCCGTCGACCGCTTCGGCGGCGGCGGCGCTCCCTGGATACCCATTCACCTGCTCCGTTTAGCCGCTGCTCGGGTTAGTCTTTCTCTCTCTCTCTCTGTCTCTGTTTGTTAAACTCTGTTGTCCGGTGCTAATCTATTAAACTCTGCTTTTGTTTCTTGATTAATTCTGCCGGTTGATGTCTGAACTATAAAATTTTTGTTATGAATTGTTTGTGTTCTGTTCCTCGGGACTGCCCCGTAATCGCTCACGAGCCTTTTTCTCGTCTCATCGCAGCACGATAATAACGAGCCATTCGACATGACCAAAATGGAGGAAGAAGCAATGCTGTTAGAAAGGGACCTATTCATGAAAGAACAGCAGACCCATAATGTCCTAAAAGAACTCGACGCCGCTAAAAAGCTGCTCGACAGCTTAAAACTCGACCTCATTCCCGAATTCTCTTCCTCCTCCGCCCCAACTCCTGACAATAACTCAACCGATCCGTATTCTGCAGTCTCCCCGAGCCCCATGTTCGTGGAACTAAATCAAGCGAAACGAACCCTCAACCGCACGTCAACCGATCTCGCCACAATCCAAGCGTCCCTCGAGTCCCTCAACCGGAAGCTTCGTGAAGACAAGATCTTGCTCGGGAGGACTAAAATGCAAATACAAACCTCCGAAAATAATCGAGATCTTCACGAGAAGAAATTATTAGGCACCGCAGCCCTCCTCCCGGACGAGCTCAAGGACAAGGAGTTTACGAGCTTCGAGGCGGAGCAGTTCAAGAGGATGACGGAAGCTTCTAGATACGAGGTCGTAAAAGCGATGGCCGAGATCGAACGGACCAAAGACAGCATCAAGATGGCCGAGATGAGGCTCCATGCTGCCAAGAAAATGGAGGAGGCTGCCAAAGCGGTCGAGGCCATCGCCCTCGCCGAAAAAACCGCATTTTCGAACGGGAAGAAAAGTTTGCCGGATGTTGTTTTCCCTCCAAAAAAGGGCGAAAAACGGCCCGAGATATTCGAGGAGACCACGAAAAACGTTGTGTTGGAGCGCACGGGAATTAATAACAATAACAACTTTGTGAAGTTCAAGTTCCGGAACTCGGTCGGGGCCCACAGGAGCCCACCGGATGCTCCGGTGGGGGTGCGGAGGATGGGCCCGCAGGACGATGCTATGGTGGGGAGGCGCGCGGAGGATTATCCTCCGGAAAGGGGACACGTGTCGTTGAGCCAGATGCTGCAGGAACAGAGTCGGGGAATCCTGCATCATCGTGACGAGCCGAAGGAAGATGAGAATATTTTCGAGAAAAGGCAGTATTTTTTCCAGATGAAGAAGAAGAAGTTTGGGTTCATTCAGGTGCCGGTTTATAACAGGAATAGCAAGAAGAAGAGGTGAGGGGGATCTGTCTGTGAGGTTACTCACTATAAGCTTGGTTTGGAGTGATTTATTAATTCTATTGTATAGTGCTTTGGGTTTTTTATGTGCTGTTTGTTTGTAGTGTGATTTGAGATTGTTTCTTTTGATTTCTTGCTTGTGTTGTTGTTTAATGTAAACTAAGTGCAGTGATTTTATTAACAAGTTTTTTCAAATGTAACAATTTTTTTTGATAAATATGGGATTTATATTTGGTGAAGATTGTTCTTTGTATGGCTCATAGTCACTGATCCCAAGTTAATGTAAAAGGGCATCTGAAAAGTCTAGTTCCATATCAATGTTTCATATATTATTTAGTTGAGACTGGGAATTTTTATTAGGAATCACACAACAAATAAAAATATAAAATAAATAAAAACTCATATAATAGTGCAAAGTGAAGTAACTCCACTCATATTTGCTTTGCGTCTTAAATAAGAAGCACTCACCCACCACTGCCAGGTATGCGACCTGGGTCGACCAACGAATTAGTCGAGACATAACTCTGGATAGCATGGCTGGCTAAAAAAAAAAAAATAAAACTAGAACTCGTAGATTCATAGTAGTATGTATATTTAATTATGGGGAAGTTCATGTTTACTGTGTTGAATTAGTGAGCGCATCAGATCAGTTACACGTCTCCACAATTGTTGTCCAGTGGTTACTCAGGTTGACCAATAGGGATTTTTAGTGTTTGCTGTTACGGTTCAAATCAATAGTTATGAGCGCATTTACTCTTAATTTTGAATGATGGGTCGAAATCCTATGATTAGACTAAACTAAGCAAACGATTTTATCCTTAAAATAGCTTCTTTTCGTAAAACTTTAAAATCGACTATTTATTTATTTAAAATGAGAAGAAATTGTTACATGTATTAATCAAGTAAAATATATATATTTTTTTTAGTACAAGGACCTTCCGGTTTCCGGATCCACAGGGGAACCGACTAATTCGGAATCGAGCCGGGTAGGACCACAAGGGCGGTAAAGCTCTCCCTCAAGAATTTTAACACTGCTGCATTCCCAGGGCTCGAACACGAGACCACTGGTTAATTTCATATTTAAGTTAAACAGTTCATATTTATATCACCCATTTTTACGAATACTAAAATTTATAAAATGCGAATGTTCATTATCTAATTTATAATTTTAAATATTACATAGACGTATATGTAACTTATAAAACTCTATATACATCTAAACATGTTGCCCGTCTCCTTCGCTTTCCTCGTGTTGTGTTGAGTAACATGTACCTGATTTATTCGACTTGTTAGTTGTTGTCTAATATGTGATCATGTTTTTTATTAAGCATGTATGGGCGTGATTGTATACAAAAATTTTCACTCAAAATTTTTAATCCACTCAAAATATAACTCAACTTTAATTCAATTTCACTATCATCAATAGTATCAATACAATTAAATAATACCATCAAATCATTCTCACACATCACATATACTTTAATTCACTATTCATCATTTTACATGATTTTATCTAACCACCACTTCATATCATCTCTCTCATACTTTTACATCAAATCACTTTAAATTTTATTTTAAATATTATTTTAATATAAATTCAAAATTACACCAACAACTAACCATACGATACTCGGGCTAACAAAAAAAATTCACTTTGAGTGAACTTTTGTATCCAAACATGAACGAGCCGAGCCAAGTCGATCCGAGCTCGACACGTTGAATAAACAATCTTGAGATTTAGCTTGAACTCAGTTCGTTTATTAATATTAACGTGTCGAGTTCGAGTTTTAACGGGCCGAAATATAAAAGGTTATATAAAAATTCTCCTATCGAGCCTTATCAAATTAGTCGAACTTAACTCGTTAACCAAATAAATTTTAAATAAGTTCAAACTCGACTCATTAAGGGTTCAAGTCGAGTCGAGTGTTAATGAGTCGAGTGAGACTCGTTTAATTTATTTAATACATTGAAATATGTTTTTCCCAACAAAAATAAAACAAAAAATTAATAAATAATCTTGACACTTGACGTGTTTCATCAAATCTGACACGCGTCTTTTCGACTTTTGAGTCACCTCGCGGGAATCTCCTAATGTT